GTGGGGTGGGGTGGGGCAGGGTGGCTGGGTGCTGCCTAAGCAGCTGCCCCCACTACCTGGGGGCTGGGGTGGGGTAAGAGGACAAGGTGGGAGAATCCCTCCAAGCTGGAGTCGGCACCCCACTGCTTTCAGCCCAGCCTCTCCCCGGCTTGGTGCCCACTTTCGCTCATGCTCTTCGTCCCCTTCTTTCCTTTCCTTTCCTTTCCTTTCCTTTCCTTTCCTTTTTTCCCATCTTCCCACAGTTCTCTTATTGTGTACATACAGATACAATATAAAATAACAACTGTGTTAGAGCACAAGATACTGAGGGGCAGGAGACCTGAGTTCTATTCTTAATTCCACTGCTGATTTGTGGAGTTACTTTGCGCAAACTCTTAACCCTCTCTGTCCCTTAGTTCCCCCTCAATGTTAAGGGGGATGGTAATATTGCCCCATCCCCTGGTGGGACTGAGAAAAATTTAATGTCTGTAAAATGTTTCCCAGGAGGTGCTAGGTAAGGGAAAACAATTATTCTTAGAGCTGATTACAAATTATTACCTGTAGATCTAGATCTGATTTTTTTTCTGTGTTTCTATCAATGTTTGGATTCTGATTCTAAACAATTGTCAAGATCAGGGGCTTTCCTGGGGCTCTGATCCAGATGGAAACATTCCCCATAGTTGTGTGTGCTTCCGGGGTCTTTGTTGGGTTCTAAGCTGTCATAGTTGTGCACATTCATTATTAAAATAATCTTTACTATAATTAGTAACAATTATTTTCATTTTAGATCAAGAATATAATGGGGGAAATGTCTAGCTGAATTAAGATTTTCAAACTCCTTTTCTTTTTTCCTCAGACTTAATTTTTGACCTGAACAAAGTTGATCTGGTCCCTTTCACTCTGTCCATCTTTTGACAATATCTTTTTCTAACTCCAACTTTTTATTGCTATTTTTCTTTGCAGGCAAATGTCAGACTGATACTCTGGGAATAGAATTCATTACCTCCTACATGATGGACTGTGAGAACTCGGGTCACTTTGAAGTGCAAATTACTGGTTACTTTGCCTTTACGTTAGTTTCTGTCTCCGTCTCCAATCACACATTTGAGAAGAAGATTATGGTAAATCGGGGAGAGATGATGCCGGTCAAGCTACCGAAGTTGTGGGGAATGAAGGGCTCTACCAAATTCTCCCATATTGTCCTAGTCGAGTCTAACAAAAATATCTCAGTTGTGTCTGTCAGCAACAAACATGAGAGCCCTGAGACCACTGTGGTGTATCCTGTCTCCAGTTTGGGAAAGGAATACTACATAGTGACTCCCCCTACAAAATCTTTAGCTAGTTACCCAGAAATCTCAGTTATGACATACCAAATGGACAACCTTGTGGCAGTCCATGTAAAAGGCAAGCTATATTACCTAACAGGTAACTACTCCACTGGCAACAAGCTGGAAATTCGGCTTGATCCTTTCCAGGGCTTCCAGTTACAAGGCATAGAAGATCTGTCTGGCACCAAGATTGTCTCAGATAATCCAGTAGCTGTCTTGGTCGGTCAGGTGTGTTTGTGTAATAACACCAAATGCAACAATGTCTTTGAGCAGCTGCTACCAAAGTGCAGCTGGGGTACAACATACATCATCCCTCCCTTACCCTGGCAGGTTGTAGAGAACACTGTTTCCGTCACTGCTTCCCAGAACACAATTGTGTTGTATCAGCAAAGGGAACAGCAAAAGAATATTACTCTGACAGAGGGCAGTGTACTCCAGCTTCCTGTCAATTCTTCTAGCCCAGTCTACATCTCTGCTACTGTGAGCGTCCAGGTGGTGTTGTACAGTGTGGGTGCAGCTATCCCTAACTCCTCCCATGCCTTCCTGATGAATGTTCCAGATGTTGCCCGTCACTGCCTGATGTATTCTATCAGTAACTGGGAGGGCTTCGAGAACTATGCCTTGATGGTGGCCAGTGCCTCAGAGACTGATGCCATCATCCTAGACAATCAGCGTCTGAGGGAATGGGACCCAGTCCCTGGCACTAAGTACTCTTGGGGCCTGCATAATCTTAGCTCTGACATCACATCTCATGCTGTGGAACATCCCAGCTCTCCATTTGTGCTCCTGAGCGTAGGCACTACCGGCACAGTCAGCTACGGGATTCCAGGCTCCTGCATGAACAGTGAGTAGTTTGGGATTTTGATCATAGTTTGTGTCTATACTGCAAAAACAAACAAACAAACTACAACAAAACACTATCACAACCAAGGAGGTAACCTGGTATAAAGTCTGCTGATTTTGATGGGGCTCACCTGAGTTATTTGGCCCAACATGCCATGCGAGGCCACCGCTAGCCACCATTACTTAGACTGTGTCTATACTAAAGATGCTACAGCAGCACAGCCATGGCACTGCAGCTGTGCCTCTGTAGCACTGTAGTGTAGACGCTTGCTACAGTGATGGATGTGTTTTTCTCTCACTACAGCTAATCCACCCCTCTGAGAAGCAGTATCTAGCCTAACAGAATAAATCACACTGCTGATCAATATGGCTAGATCTACCTAAGTTTTAAGAATAGTTCAGGCCTAAGATTGTGCCTGTGTTGCTAGCTGCATTGAACAGGTTTCAGCCAGCTCATGCAGTGTGGCAGATTATTACCAGTTGTTCTGAATTGGTTTAAATACTATTGTATGTTTCCTCTTACACTTGGTTGTGATGCCCTCTGTATACACAGAAAGTAGCTGTAGCATGGTGTATTGTGATTCCTTCCTTGATCTGCCCTGCATATGAAGCCAAGGTCACGTAAATACCCTTATATCAGTTCCACACAAGCTGTGGAAGGCTCCTCCACAGGGAATGGTCTTAGGGTGCATCTACACAGCTCCATAACTTGAAATAGGTTTGCATATCTTACGTGATCTCGCATATCTTACTGCAAATTGCATATCTTATTTTGATGCTATTTTTGCCATTTCATTTCAAAATAAAGCACTATTCCAAAATGTCCCTTACTCCTCATAGAATGGAGTTTACAGGGATGTCAGAATAGTGAGTCCGAAATAACAGGCTTGCTGTAAAGACGCGGGATAGCTATTTCGAGATACTCCGAGTGTTTCAAAATAGTGTTGCAGTGTAGATATAGCATTAGGGAGCTATTTACACCCACTTTAACTGCCTTTTTCAGGCTAACACAACATAATGCCTTTAGTGTAACTGAGGCCTGTCCAACATCTTAACTTTGTTCAACCATGTCCATAAGCTAGCCTAAGCCCAAGCGTAGACAGCACTAGGTCAACAGAAGAATTCTTCTCTTGTCCTAGTCCGCCCCCCAACACTCTCTCTCTCTCTCTCTCTTTCTCTCTCTCACACACACTCCCCAGGCCCCTAGCTACCACCTCTCTGAGGTGGATTTACTAGAGCAATGGAAGAACCCTTCCGTCACTGTAGTCAATGTCTATATTACAGTGACAGAACTGCGGCTGCACCACTTTAGCATTTCTAATGTGGACATATCCTGAGATTCAGACCTTTAGAAGAACAAAGCAGGGTTAGAACAGTTCTTAGGAAGGTGTAAACTTCTCCAGGGTAGCTGTAACAACACCCATATTGGTAATCTCCAAGGATCAAACCACAGTTTGAGCTAAGGGACTAATTCCCCTGGCTAGGAGCTGTAGCAGAACCAGACCCTTGGTCAGCCATCCCATCGAGGACACAACACACCCTGATCAATGAGATACACTGGCAGGTCTTTAGGGACAAATGTATTGCTAACTGATTACAGATTCAGTTGAAAGTTGTCAGATAGGGTTTAAGTGGTCAAGGTACATTTGCTGGGTTTCAGTAGATCCACCTTTTTCTGCTGATAGGAAGAAAGGATAGCCCTTGTCGTTAAAATGCAAGCGATCACCCTTCCATTCCCATTTCTGTCTTAGAATCCCTGGCTGTGTCTACACTGGCGCGATCTTGCACCAAAGCGGCTGATCTTGTGCAAAAACTTGCTGCCTGTCTACACTGGCCATGTGTTCTTGCGCAAGTAAACTGACGTTATACTGTATGAAATCAGGGCTTCTTGCGCAAGAACTATGATGCTCCTGCTCAGGAATAAGCCCTTTTGCGCAACTGTTCTTGTGCAAGAGGCCAGTGTAGACAGGCAACATTAATTTCTTGCGCAAGAAAGCCCTATGGTTAAAATGGCCATCAGAGCTTTCTTGCACAAGAAAGCGTCTACTCTGGCATGGATGCTCTTGCGCAAAAGCACATGCCAGTGTAGACACTCTCTTGCACAACTACTTTAATGTAATAACTCTTGCGCTAAAGAGTTTTTGTGCAAGATCATGCCAGTGTATATGTAGCCCCAGTGTATGCAGCTGTCACTTAGGCCAAGATGTTCAAAATTGCCTTGTGATTTTGGTTTCTTAACCCAAGACCTTAAAGGCCTGATTTACAGAGGGTGAGTGCTTAAGGCTCTTGAAAGTTAGGATCATTTTAAGATGTTTCAAACCACACTACATTTTTTAAAACCTTAGCCCTGATGTAAATGTCTGTGCCTCTCTTTCTGTTGCTAGATATTTTAACCTCGAAATGCCAGATTGAGACTTCACAGATAAAAGAGCAGTTGGACAAGTGCAAAAATGTCTTCCTGAAGGTATGCCTGACAGGGCTTTTTTGGGCTTTGAGGGTTTTCACAAAGAGTACACAGAAAACGTTGAACTTGAGGATTCTCGGCTCATCTAGGACTTCAGTTGCAGCAGAATCAATAAGATATGGCATGCTTTTGATAACTCTACTCTAATGGACTTAGGTGTGTGACACCCTACTGTAGATCAGCATTCTGCAGTTAAGACACTAGCTCAGTGGTTCCCAACATGGTGCCCGTGGGCACCATGGCACCTGCTGAGGCATTTATGTGCTTGCGCCTAGTCGGGGTCGGGGTCGCGACGCAGGATGCCCGGGGGAGGACGGTCCGCATGTGCTGTGGGGCCGAACTTGTGCAGTGACGGGGCGAGGGGAAGTGCCGGCGGCGGGAGAACCTGCTGGGGAATGTGGCGGGGAAGCCACGGGAGCAGGGCAGCGGGTCCGGAGCGGCAAAATGGCCGTGGTGGGGGGGGGTCTGGCGCTGATGCAGGTGCAGTTGGCACGGGGCCGGCTGGCAGGGCGATGCAGCGGGATGACGTCACCCACCGGTGCAGTGCCCGCCACACAAAAAGGTTGGGGACCACTGCACTAGCTAGAGATACAGAAAGTCAGAGATTTGTTCCCATCTCTGCTCCCTGACTTATTGTGTGGTTTTGGGCAATTTGATCAGTCTCTCTGTATACCAGTTCCCCATTTGTAGAAGGAGGATAATAATTCTTACAAAACCCTCTGGGCATATCTACGCTGCAGAGAAGATCAGCGCTCTGGAGGTTGATCTTCTAGCGTGTGATTTCACAAGTCGTGTGTAGACCCCCAAATCGAATGCTGAGGGCAGTCCCACTGGCATCTGGTGCTCCTCGATCTGTGAGGAGTAAGGGAAGCCCATAGGGGGTGTGCTCCTGTCAGCCTTCCACAGTGTAGACACCATGGAGGATCGGTTTAAGGTAAGCTGAATCCAGCTACACATTTTGTATAGCTGGATGGCGTACCTTAAGCTGACCGGCCTGGTCTAGTGTCAACCATGCATGAAAACTTTAATACCATGTCAAATATCAGTGTCTCTGTGGGCTTCAAACAGCAAACAGGTGGGACAACCAGCCAGTCAGCCACAAGTCATCACCAGATCACTCTGTGGAACCATTAACCTGATTTTGGGGTGGCCTTTCCATGCTCACAGAAATAATCCATTTCCTTTGATTGTTCTGCAGGACAGCAACAATGAATTTTGCTCCTTCGTGAATTCAACCTTAGTGAATTTGGAGACCATCTGTGCACAGAACACAACAGTATCGCTGGAGGTCAGAGTTCTGCCCCATGTGGGTGGTCTACGGCCAAAGGCCCTGAGCGGTTTAGCTGGTAGAGAAGTCTCACTGTGAGGGAAATTTTAGCCTCTCTTCAGAAAAGGAGTGTATGCGTGCATGCATGCGTGTGTGCATGTCCTAGATCTCATGTTTAAGTGGCATGAGATCTGGGTTCTCACACCACTGATCCTAGCAAGATCCTAGTTGCTTCCAGGGGCAACACAGAGAGAACGTAGTTACCTGCTGATTTATTGCAATGTTCTCTGGCCCCTATACTGAAGGAACCCAGAAGTGAATGACAGAGGCTATTAGCCCTGCCTTGGCTTTAGGTTACTGTAGAGTCCTGAGCAAGCCTCGGTCAACTCCCTCTCTAAAGGGCTCTGAGAATGCTGCAGTGTCTTGGAGTGGGGGAGCTACCCTATGAAGCCTCATGTCCCTAAGAAGGGTCATAGTACCCCTGGGAGGCTGAAGAATGTGGCTCATAAACACCTGAAATCCTCCCTCCTCAGGGTATTTCCTTTCCCAATCCCAGGAAGTTGCTATCCCCTTTGGTTCCCTCCTGAATAGCTCCGCCCTCAGTGCTGGTGAGAGTAAGAATGTGAGATCTGCCGTGATGCTCCTGCTGCAGAGTGTGGAACTGGCCGTACTGGATGCTGCTTTGAAGTCTCCGAAGATGAAGCGACAGAATGTGACAACTGAGTCTATGGGTGAGAAGGGTGGAAGACCCCCACAAAACACCACTTCTGGCTCACTGCCCCTCTCTCAGGGTTTATAACCCAGCTCCGGGGCCTGACCAATGTCCGCTTCCGGAGAGGGTTTGAAAGGCAATGCCAACCTCCTCTTGCCATTGTTTCTTCCTTTCTAGGGATGTAAAGCAGACCAGGGAGAGGGGGAGCAAAGCCTCTGGTCTGGGGAGACGTGGAGCAAAGCCGCGGAGCACGCGGGCAGCGGACAGCCCAGACGCGCCGCGGCTGTCCCGCTCCCGGCATCCTCAGAGGCTTTGCTTCCCGTCTCCCTGGTCTGCTGGTCAGAGGTTAGCTCCCGGGGGTGGCGTGAGCTGGAACTGAGCAGTCCCGGCTCACACCAACTGCGGGACTGCTGAGCTCTGCCTTCCCTGCTCTGCCCCTGCACCACGGAGACAGTGCTGAGGGGAACTCGCTTTTAAGCAAGCTCCCCCGAGCCTCGGCTCCTGCTTCCCATATTCCCCTTGCTGCCTCTGATACAGAGGCAGCAGAGGGGGAGTCAGTCGTCAAGTAGTCCCTTGACTACCGGATAAGCCTATGCTCATCAGGTAGTCGTCTACTTGACTTTCTACCCCAGCAATACCCCTTCTTGCTGCTTCCCCTACTACAGCGCAGAAGTGAGGCAGCAAGAAGTTGCTTTCTGCCTCTTGGCAGAGTGTCTTCTTCCTGGGGCCATGGGGTGATGGATCATAGGTCAGCCAGAGGGGCGGAGTGAAACAGAAATGGAGGTGAGAAAGAGAGAGGCCGCGATGAGACTCAGAGGACGCAGCTCCAAGCCTTCCTCGCCCTTGCAGCAAGAGGCTTTGCCATTTTCCTCCCCAGCTATCTCGACACTCCTCATTGACACGAATGCGGATTCCTGTGACAAGGGCTTCAGACTGAGAGCTCAGGAAGACGCAATGGACATTGACTGCAATACGGTCACAGAAGGTACCATCCTGGGGCTTCCCAGGCACTCACCCCTTTAACGAGACCCCAGACCCCAGTCCTAGTTCTCCCCTTCCTCTAGCCCCAGGCAGGTATGCCTTGCCTTCTTATCCTCACACTAGAATGGGTCTTCATGGCTGAGCCAGTGTTTCTCAGGCTACTGAGCTTTGCAAAACCCTTCATTCCTGGTTGTCTCACAGCATGAAAACCAAGCTATGGGGGAGGGGAAACAAGGAGGCAAAATAAGCTTTGACAGGGTCACTGACACAGGAATCCCCAGGGAGCCAACTGAGGTTATGCATTAGGGCTAATCTGTAAAGGATGGGGCAGGCAGCCCCCCAAACTGACAGTTATTTCAATACTGAGACTTAATAAGCCAGCACAAAACAACCTCTGGGATACCTTACCGCAGTGGTTCTCAAAGTGCGGTCCATGACCGTCTTGTAGGTAGGCTCAGGGCTCAGCCCCGCCCATCCCACCTGCAGCGGGAGCCTGCTCTATGTCCCCCACCATGGTTAGAGTATCAGTGCCAGCCTCCCACTGTTGGGGGGACGGAAAGCCCTGAGTTTCATGGGCAGGATCTGGCTCGTACTGGGAGGGAGCAGCTTCCACTCCAGAAACCACTTGCCTGGAGGCTTTCCCCACTGCTCCCATTGGCCAGAATCATGGCCAATAGGAGCAGCAAGGGGCAGTGCCTGGGTGTGGAGGGGTGCACAGAGCCAGATAAACACTCCCCAACCAACTTGTGCTCAGACCCCACATCCCTATTGCCCTCACACAGCCTCTCCACCAAGACCCCACCCTGCTCCTGCTCTCATCATCCTGCCCAGACCCTCCACCCCCAGTCCACTCCTACACCCCACCTACTGTCCAGACCTCTTACCTCTTACCCTTCACGCAACTTCCTGGCCAAACCCCCCACTTCCAGCCTACTCCTCCCACCAGACACCCTACCCCCAGCCCATTCCTGCAACCTTCCTCCCACCCAGACCCCCACCTTCAGCCTGCTCCTGCACCCAATCTCCTGGCCAGACTCCCGCCCTGCTCCTGCAGCCTTTCTCCCACCCACACCTTGCACCATCACCCCCTCCTGCACCCACCAGACCCTGCAACCCCATCCCTATCCTGTTCCCTGGCAACCCCCTCCCATACACTTGACCCCTCATTTTTGGCTCCCCCCTGGAGCTTAGGAAGGCCCACACAATCCACTTGTCCCGTTGGACGCCCTAACCCTCTGTCCTCCCTTCCCCCATGAAGCTGGAGCGTGAAGGCAGTGAGGTGTCAGTCATGGGGCTCAGGAAGGGGTTGGGTTTTCTTTTTGTTGTTGTTATTTTGGGCTTTTTTGCCTCTAATTTTTGTGTGGCCCCTGACTGATTTTTCTGTGGGTCAATGGCACTTGACTCAAAAACAAGAGCACGTGGTTTAAGAGGTCAGGGGAGGCAATGCCTCCCCTGGGTCTTAGTGCTCAACCTCTCCCCACATCCTGTGCCTGTTCTGACAGCTTCAGTGGGGGAGCAGAGTTAGTCCGTAACTGGAAACACTTAAAAAACAACAAATAGTCTAGCAGCACCTTAAAGACTAACAAAGCGTGTAGGTGGGATCGTGAACGTTCATAGGCACAGCTCACTTCTTCTGGAGTGGATGTTAACTTCAGAGTGAAAAATCTTTCAGCTTGCTAGCTCTATTAGCATAACATTGAACCTGTGAAAGAGCCATTAAGTCAGGGTGGGCAAAAAGGCCTCCGCAGGCTGGATCCGGCCCACCAAGTGGGTTGATCCAGCCCGCAGAAGCCCTGGTGCTCCCCACTCTCAAGCCAATTGGGTCTGGGGGCAGGGGAGCACACAAATCTTCCTTCCGCCCTGTGAGGAGCATGCTGCGCTTCAAAGTGCTATGCACTCCTCTCCTCGCAGGGCAGGAGGAGACATCACACACTCCCCTGCCCCCAAGCCCTGATTGGCCTGGGGGCGGGAGGAGCATGCAAAGTTCCCTTCACCTGATTTGCTCTTTTTTTGTCTCAGTGTCCCTGTCTCTGTATGACGAGGCATAATTTCATGTTTTCAGACTCTACGGCTATTGCTTTTATTTCTTACTCCACCCTGGACGTCATCATTAACAAGGGAATTTTTGAAGAGGGAGATCTAATGGATCATAAGAAACTGAACTCCAGGGTGGTGAGTGGGGCTATCAGAGCTGGGAGACACATGAACTTCTCCAAACCTGTAAACATCACCCTGCGCCATAGACAGGTGAGTGCAGATCCTTTTACTCTGCTCCTTGCCTACGGCTCCAGATGGCCACTTTCAAGGTGAGGCTTCTGCAGGGCATTTGAGTTCTTCTGTCTTTTTGGACTTGTAATATAGCTGAGAAACAGAGGCAGCTTCTTCAGATGATGTGGGAAAAGCTGAATTACTTGATTTTTTTTGACTCTGTCTTCACAGACAAGATCAGCTCCCAGACTACTGCACTGGGCAGCACAGTATGGGGAGGAGGTGGGAAGCCCTCAGTAGAGAAAGAACAGGCTAAGAACTATTTAGAAAAGCTGGACATACAGGCTACATCTACACTACAAGTTTTCTCTGCAAAAAATATGCTAATGAGGGACTCATTTGCATGACTCATCATCTCATTTGCATATTTTCTGCTGATCCTTTTGCGCTAGGGGTTTTTGCACAAAAACAAGCAGTGTGGGTGTTTTCTTTTTGCACAAAAAACCCTTTTTCCGCAAGATCCTTATGCCCCCAAAAAGGAGGCTCACAATGCAGCGAAAGTGCTGACGTGCACACGCAATCAACTATGCCCTCAGTTCCTTCTCAGCTGCTCCCCCCTTGGTCGGAACACAGCAGTGCTCAATTCTAGAATTCAGTTAGAGTCGTTTTTAGTAGTTTTTCTCAATAATTAGAGTTTAGAGTTGTAGGTAGGTTAGTCACAGTTCTTTCCACCCTGTTAGTGTTAGTTTTAAAAAAAATGGTTTTTCTCTGTAGTTACTATAGTGTTAGGAGAGGCATTCCAGGCTCGCCAAGATTTAAAAGGTGCCTGACATACAGAATGTCTACCCATTTCAGATGGGCATGCTCAGTGCATTAGGTGCCTGGGCCAGGACCACTCTCCAAAAAATTGCTACACTACAAAAAGCTGTTGGCTAGGTTGTTAAAAGCAAGGGAACTCCAGCTGAAACTCCTCACTACGGAGAAGGTGGAAAGACATGACTTGGAACCAGCATTGACCATATCACCACCTCTCTGACAGTACTCTCAGACCAGGGACCTGCACCAAGAGGCAAGCCGGCAAAGAAGACGACAAAAAGGAAGCACTCCGTACTGTTGGGTGAGAGACCACCAAAGAAAACATCTCAGCACAAGCCCCCTACGCCTGGGGCAAGGACTTTGGGGGAAGTGCAGATACCAGGGAAGTCCGTTACAGCAAACCCTAAGGGGCAGTGTCATAGAATCACAGAACACTAGAACTGGAAGGGACCTCAAGAGATCATCAAGTCCAGTCCCCTGTCCTTTTCCAAAGACTCACGCCTTGTGGTCTCGGTGCCCAAGACAAAGAAGACCACCTCTGTGCCGTTGGTACCGAAGGCTCCAGTACCCAAAACACCATCACAGATTCTGGTGAAAGGGCAACCGGAACCAGCCATACAGACAATCACCAGATCGGTACAGACTGTACACATAGAAGGTTCCCCAGTACCAACAACGCCCAAAGTATGCGCCAAAGCAGGGCTGCAGGGATCACAGCCCCCCACCCCCCCCACACACACACACTTCCCCCATATACACCAACGGTACTGACCTTCCTTCCTCCTAGACCGCTCACCATGCAGCAGGAGTTAGCAGTCATGTCGGTACCGGACATGCTGCTCTTCGGCACCAATGCTATCCCATCGTCAGTGGGTCCAAGTAGATTGGTGACACTTGCAAGCTCTATAACCCACTTTTCCAGTGACAGTGAGGACGACCAGGAGATTCCTTTAGCACCACGTCACTCATCTCCAAAGCCAACCTCGCAGTTGCAGCAGCAGCAACAGCTGGTACAGACCCAGATGTAGCAGCCTTTCCCATGGCTCCCTCCCATCCCACTTCCATAACCCTGGCAGGGATGGGATCCCTGGAGCACCATGAAGGCCCAGGGGCCACCACCAGTGATAGTGAGACCACTATCGGGGTGTGACGGTGCAATTGGGGTTCCCCCCGATCCTGTACCCCCGTAGCAGCCAGAACAGTCTCCACCAGCCAGCAAAATAGAGAGGGGTTTATTGATTTTCCAGAATACAGCACAGCATAGACATGATGTGGCAATAGGAGGGGGCTAGGATGCCCCAGACTCCTTAAGGCGGGGTGCCTGAGCCCCTAGTCTCCAAGCCCCCTCCCTAGGCTGTCTCCATCATGTTACCAGCCCCAGACTAACTCTTCCTCCGCCCACGTACTTCCTTTGATCCAACCTCCTTCCCTCCCCCCAGTCAGAACCGGTCAGGGCAGTGTCTGGCCCCCCTGCTGGGCTGTGCTCACAGACAGGGCCCGTAGGGGACAGCCCAAGCCTAGCGACCAGCAAGATGCCCCACTACATCACACGGGGCACCCAACATGCCTGCACCCGCAGCATCAGAAGTGACGCAGGATGACATTGAAGACATGGATAAAACCGAAGAAGAGAATACTCTACCTACAACCTATATTTCTTCATTGTCCCCAGACTAATCCATAATGCCTCCACCTCCTACTAGGGGTGATGATTTTAAATCTTTTCAGGACTTGCATAAGGTGACTGACTCCCTCGACATATCTCTGGTCGAGATTCCTGACATTCAACACAAACTGACCGATATATGACAAGCCTTGCTTGTCAACGAGGCCGTGCTCGACCTGGCAAAGATTTTGTGGCAAACTCCAGCTTCCATCTCACCCACCTCGAGAAGGGCAGATAAGAAATATTGTGTCCCAGCTAACGGGGCTGAGTTCCTGTTTACATACCCCACCCAGAATTTGCTGGTTGTTGATACTGCCAACAACAGGATTAAACAGAGCTAGTTTAAATCTACCCCATACGACAAAAACTGGAAAAGACTTGATCTCCTAGGGAGAAAATATTACTCATCTGCATCGCCCTCATCAGGATTGCAATCTATTTAGTATTATTGGCCAAATACACTTATAACCATTTGGAAAAATGATACCTTTTATTGAACAATTACAAGACAAAGACAAGGCCGCATTTAAATCAAGCAGAGGAGGGGACGGTATCCTTATAGTGAGGACGCTGCTGCAGGCATCCCTCAATACAGCCGACACGGCTTCCAGATCTCTCGCCACATCTGTAGTGATGTGTCCCGTCTCCTGGCTGCACCTCTCTGGGTTCCCTAGTGAGATACAGAACAAAGTCGAGGACCTTCCCTTGGAGGGTCAGAAGTTACTTTCCTCCACCACAGACACATCCCTGAATTCCCTTAAAGACTCAAGGGCCACTTTAAAAACACTGGGGATGTACATCCCTCAACCAAAGAAGAAAATCAATTGCATGTACACACCCCATGGCAGAGTGACATCCTCACCCTACCCACCTCAGAGGGGCTGTGATTTAAGATGTTGTCAGGGGCAGCAAAAATTCAGGCAGCCTCAAGACCAGCAGTAAATGCATCAATCCTCCAATGGCAGACAAACGTTTCGAACCATTGGTCGAAGTTTCAGCGTTGTTTCCACCAGCCAACCAATACAAATTCAGTCTGCAACCATTCTACCAAGTACAGTCCATTATTCATAGACTCATAGATTCATAGACTTTAAGATCAGAAGGGACCATTATGATCATCTAGTCTGACCCCCTGCACAGTGCAGGCCACAGAATCTCACCCACCCCTCTTAGAATAATCCTCTCACCTATATCTCTGATATTGAAGCCTTCAAATATTTTGAAGGTCCCAAGATGCAGAGAGTCCTCCAGCTGTGATCTGCGCCCCATGCTACAGAGGAAGGCGAAAAACCTCCAGGGTCTCTGCCAATCTACCCTGGAGGAAAATTCCTTCCCGATCCCAAATATAGCGATCAGCTAAACCCTGAGCATGTGGGCAAGACTCACCAGCCAGACACCCAGAAATTCTCTATAGTAAATTCTCTATTATAACAACTGACAAGTTGGCTTAGTAAAAGGCCTAGCAGTACCATTCCTCACATTTACCCCAACCCAACCCCCTTCTCCATCCCTCTTCAGGGACCCCTCTCGTGAGTCCCTGTTACCATAGGAGATAAATAAACCGCTACGGATTAAGGCAATAGAGATCATCCCAGCACAACACAGGGGAAAGGGGTTCTATTCCAGATACTTCCTCACGTCAAAAAAGTCTGGAAGATGCAGACCCATACTGGACCTTCGCAGATTGAACAAATACCTAAAAAAACAACAATTCACCATGGAAATGCTGGCAAAGATCATTCCTGTGTTGGGAAAAGGAAACTGGATGTCATCCTTGACTGGTAGGACTCGTACTTTCACATAGCAATACGACCATCTCACAGAAAGTTCCTCAGGTTCATCCGAAAAGATCAGCATTATCAGTACCAAGTCTTACCATATGGCCTGTCAGCAGCACCCAGAGTCTTTTCCAAGGTCCTGGCAGTAGCAGTGGCCCATCTAAGAAAACCAGGCATAGTGATCTTCCCTTACTTGGACGATTGCCTGATAGTGGCTCCAACAGAGCAACAGGCCAAGCAATTCATCGAAGGCACAATCAGACTCTTTGCAAAGCTGGGGCTCCAAATAAATACGCAAAAGTCAAATCTCCCACCATCTCAGGCGCCACTCTGGGCTGTATAAACGCACAGGCGCAGTGGCCTCTGCCAAGATTCCATGCCCTAGCTTCACTAGCAGAAACAATCACAAACAGCCCCACAGTATCAGCCAAGCAACGCCGGCAGTTACCGGTACTTGGCCACCTGTCAGCAATGACATACGTAGACCCTCACGCGAGGTTACACAAGTGTGGCTACACACGTGCTTCCGCCCTTTCAGGCATCCGTTACACAGGACGCTCAGCCCTACAAACAAGGTCAGGTAATCCCTCACATGGTGGCCACATGTCATCAATCTCTGCGTGGGGGTTCCTTCCCATCAGCCAGCCCTGTCTATTCACATAATGACGGATGCTCCACTGGAGTGGGGGGGAGGATAAGGGGCACCCTAAAGGTAAGGAGGTGGGGTGGGGCCTGGAGTGGCTGAGGCGATAGGGCATTCGACTGGAGCACTCAGGGTGGGAACACTGTACAAAATCAGCCGCTATTCCGGAAAAACTATTCTGCTCCCGCTCGGGCATAAGTCCTTATTCTGGAACACTGTTCCGGAAAAGGGCCAGTGTACACAGCCCAGTAGTCTTTTTCTGGGCGAAAATGGCGATCGGGGCTCTTTTCCGGAAAAGCGTGTCTACATTGGCCACAGACGCTTTTCTGGAAAAAGGGCTTTTCTGGAAAAGCAGCCTGCTAATGTAGACGCTCCTTTTCCAGAAAAACTGAAAACGGAATAGTATTCCATTTTAAGCAGTTCCGGAAATTCATGCCAGTGTAGACACAGCCTAGGTGTTCCATTGCCTTTTACCTAGACAGAACCAAACAATGTAGGCAATGTCACAGACTGTTCATTTCAGTAGCAGACTGTGCGAAGGGTCATGCGGTTTCCAAAGAAAGACTGTCCAAATGGATGACAAACTGCATCTGAGAGTGCTATGACATTAATAAAGTGCCACCTTCGGGCACATTCCACTAGAGCGATGGCCACATCTACGGCCTTCCTACACAACGTGCCTATCAGGGATATTTGCAGGGCAGCAAGATGGGCTTCCACGGATACTTGTACAAAACATTATTGGATAGATACTTAGCATTACAACATACCACATTTGGAATGGCTGACCGCTGATGAGGCCCGGAATCCCTTCTTTCAAAAGCTCAGGGTACTGCTCCACAGTAACCTACAATGGAGTGCCCCCTGGGACACTCCTTGAGGAAGAAAAGAGAGGTTACTCATCTTGTGCAATATATGGTGTTCTTCAAGATGGGTGTCCCTGTGGGTGCTCCACAACCCGCTCTCCTCCCCTCTCCTTCAGAGCTTTAACATGCCTCCGTGGTAGAGAAGGAACTGAGGGGACGGTTGATGGGGTGCGTGTGTCGGCATGTTTGCTGCGTTGTGACCGGTGCCGTGAGTACACGCCGGTACCTAGGGGAAATACTGCTGCTAAAAAGTTTTGATTATAAGCGCAGGGGTGCCTAGACACCTACAGTAGCGCACCCTGCAGAAAAGGACCTGGGCATTACAGTAGCTGAGAAGCTGGCTATGAGTCAACAGTGTGCCCTTGTAGCCAAGAAGGCTAATGGAATATTAGAGCACGTTAGTAAAAGCATTGCCAGCAGATCCAGAGAGGAGATTATTCTCCTTTATTCGGCTCTGGTGAGGGCACATCTGGGCTGTGTCTACACTGGGCCACTTATTCCGGAAAAGCAGCTGCTTTTCCGGAATAAGCTGCGAGCTGTCTACACTGGCCCCTTGAATTTGCGGAAAAGCACTGACGATCTACTGTAAAATTGTCAGTGTTTTTCCGGAAAAACTATGCTGCTCCCGCTCGGGCAAAAGTCCTTTTTCTGGAAAACTGTTCCGGAAAAGGGCCAGTGTAGACAGCCCAGTAGTCTTTTCCGGAAAAAAGCCCCGATCGCGAAAATGACTGTCGGGGCTCTTTTCCGGAAAAGCGCGTCTACATTGGCAACGGACGCTTTTCCGGCAAAGAAGCTTTTCCAGAAAAGCATCCTGCCAATGTAGACGCTCTTTTTCCGGAAATACTTATAACGGAAAACTGTTCTGTTTTAAGCATTTCCGGAAAAGGGTGCCAGTGTAGACGTAGCCCTGGACTATTGTGTCCACTTCTGGCCCCCTCGTTATAGAAAGGGCGTGCATGTATTGGAGCACATGACATATGAGGAGAGACTGAGGGATTTGGGCTTATTTCGTTTACAAAAGAGAAGAGTGAGGGGGGATTTGATAGCAGCCTTCAATTACCTCAAGGGAGGGTTCCAAAGAGGACGGAGAGAGGCTGTTCTCAGCGGTGACAGATGACAGAACAAGGAGCAATGGTCTCAAGTTGCTGTGGGGGAGATCTAGGTTGGATATTGGGAAAAACTATTTCCCTAGGAGGGTGGGGAAGCACTGGGATGGGTTCCCTAGGGAGGGGGTAGAATCTCCGTCCCTAGAGGCTTTTAAATTCCGGCTTGACAAAGTCCTGGCTAGGATGATTTAATTGGGGTTGGTTTTGCTTTGGGCAGGGTGCTGGACTCGATTCCTGTGGTCTCTTCCAACCCTCGCTTGTATTTCCACTGCCAATGGGTAGTGTAAAATTGCTGTTACGGGCAGCACAATGAGAGCCAAGAAGTCCTTGGTGAATTTAGGCGTCTTACAGTCTATTAGAGATGTATCACAAAAGAAACCATATTCTCCCAGTGATCCAGTGAGGATGAGGATGGTATTTTTGTCTCCAGGTGAAGAAAGAGGAAGAAAAAGTTCACTGTGTTCACTTGAAAGCCATCACTGGGAAAGACATCTGGGCTCATAATGACTGCACCGTTGTGCACATGAACAATACTCACACCGTCTGCAGCTGTAACCATCTCTCCAGCTTTGCCCTCCTAATCGGTCCCATGGGAGTGGAGGTATGTCACTTTCAGACTCAGCTCAAGGGGCGGCACTTTGAGCTCCTTACTCAGGCAAAGTCAATGGGAATTTTGCCTGAATGAATGCTGAACAGGAACCTCAGGGCATCCCTTGTGGCCACCATGGGACAGGGTCAAATGGTGGGCTGGGGTTGTAACCTGAGGTGAATAAAGTAGCCCACACTGAAAATGCCAAAGTCAGGTCAGGTTGCAAAAAGGAAAGTAGATTCTCCCCAAACTGAGGGTTAACAGTGTAATCCTGGGGTGGGCAATAATTTTTGTCTGGAGGCCATTTAAAAAATGTTTGAAGTAGCCACGGGCCACCCTGGAAGGGGTGGGGCCTAAACAGGAAGGGGCGGGGCTACCCCAGACCATGATTGGTTTGGGGGTGGGGGAGCCCCTTTAGCCCCTCCCCCTTCCCACTAGGCTCCCATGCCCTGGAAGAGGCTTGGCATGGTCCCTCACCCCCAAGCCAATCAGGGCCTAGGGACGGGGAGCGCGGGAAGCCTCCTCCCACCTTGTGAGGAGCATGTGGCACTTTGAAGTGCCCTGGGCTCCTTGCAGGGCCGGGGCAGGGCGAAGGAAGCTTTACGCAGCTCCCCCGCCCCCAGGCCCTGATTGGCCTAGGGACAGGGGAGCACACGAAGCCTCCTCCATTCTCCCCCCGCTCCCCTCTCGCCCTGCAAGCAGCGCACGGCACTTCAAAGTGCCATGTGCTCCTGGCGGGGTGGGAGGCTTTGGGCGCTCCCCCACCCCCAGGAGTTAATTGCCCTGGGGGCGGGGGAGCAGCAGGGCCTCCGCAGGCTGGATCCACCCGCTTGGTGGGCCAGATTCAGTTCGTGGAGGCCCTTTTGCCCACCCCGGGCACCAACAGTCACAAATTGTGCTCCTAATTTAGTTAGGGTTGGTCCTGCTTTGGGCAGGGGATTGGACTCAATGATCGCCCTGGGCTTCTATGATTCTCATCCCTCCACTGGTTATAAGAAGCTGGTAAAAGAAATCCCATAGCTCCCTCTATTGCATTCCTGTCTCTGGCTCCTAATCAGCAGATGGGTTGAGCAAAGTGAGAAGTTACTTAAAACTCTACTCATTTAACAGAATGTTCTTCTGGCCCCAAAAGAACAGCCATATTGTCAGGTCAATATTAGTTTGGATCTTTCCTTGAGTATCTAAAACTAAAGGGTTTATTCGAGAAGAAAAGAGAGTTGCTAAATAGTCAAAGCCATCAGATTCGTCCATCTGCCTTCAGAGACCATTATCAGCTGATTCCCAACCCTGATAGTGGCATCGGTGAGTTTCTTGGCTTGTAAAATCCCTCTGCAACACGCCCAAAATCTTAGATGGGTCTATCAGACCTTTGTTCAAAGTTTCAGTTTGTAGAGAAGTTACTCTAGCGGTGGGAAGTAGGACTGAAGACAAAATGGGAGTGATGCCACTGCCTTTTAATACCATTTGCCATGTGGCTTGTATGTACTTTCTCTGTACCAAACACAAGCTCATGGGCATGGAAAAGCATTTGGAATCTCCTACTGATAGGTATGACCCTACATGTCCTGCTGACTCATAGGCACAGCCCCTGGCTTCTCCCAATGAATTCATTGGATAGTAGATTGCCCTTGATGGGCCATCAAGCAGATGGGATAGTGCTGTTACCAATCTATCAGCCAGAAACACAGCACAGGTGTGAGATGTAGAAATATCACGTTTATATATCATCTTTGTATTGTGAGTTATAGATATAGACAAGATTATCACACTCAGCAAATCGTATCTTTTCCACTAATATGTTCCATGGCATATCTCGTAAAATTCATTGCAATTTTGTAATATTGGTATCCATATTATAACTGTAACCCACATTCCATTTAGCCTTAAGGGGTCACAGGTGATTCTCTTTTGCTGTGTTACAGGACAGTCTCCCACTGACCATCATCACCTACGTGGGCCTGACCCTCTCCCTGCTGTGTCTCCTCCTCGCCATCCTCACCTTCGTCCTGTGTCGTTCCATCCGCAATGTCAGCACCTCCATCCACCTGCAGCTCTGCCTTTGCCTCTTCCTGGCCGACCTCCTCTTCCTCACCTTTGTAACCCACACCAGTAATCAGGTGCGTTATCCACTTTTGTTCTTAGCGTGGAATCAAGCTGTGTACGGATCCTCTGCCATCATTGCTAAAGTTCCCCTCGTCTGAGCACCTTTCTCTACCCTCAGCCGGAGGGTAACATTTATTCTTCTTTGAGTGATTGTCCATTCCACGTAGGTGTGCACACACCGCATACACGGATTAGCAAAAGATTTTCCTCAGCAGTACCTGTTGGGCTCGCAGGGGAGCCCCCTGGAGTGGCGCCAGAATATGCAAGCATATATACCCCTGTCGGCCCGCCACCCTCTCAGTTCCTTCTTACTGCCCATGACGGTTGTTGGACGTGCTTTGCTTGCTCTGCAAGTGCACCTTAGTGGTCTTCGTAGTTTAAATAGTTGTAGCTGTAGTTTCAGTTTCAGTTGTTGGTTAGTCACTAGTAGTGCAGATAGTTAGGGGTTCGCTTTCACATTCCCCTGTCCCTCGCGTGCCCAGGCACCAAGGTTTTAAGCTTTGCTCTAAGTGCCTTAAGCCCAGGCCCTGGGGTGACCTGCATGACGTGTGTCTCAAGTGCCTGGGAGAAGGGTCCCTGTCAGTCAACTGCAAGATCTGTTGCAGTTTCAAACCCTGTGCCCAGAAGGAGAGGGACTAGCGACATAAGATTCTCCCGATGGAGTCAGCGCTTCACCCGGCACAGGCTGGGACTG